TGTATTATATGTGTTATATAACTTGTATTATATAATTTAATTATTTTAAAAAAACAAAAATACAATTTATTTAAAGTTTGAAATATTTTAAAAAGATATGATTTGAATTATTATATTCTTATAATTTGGCTTTATTTATAAGTGATATTAATATTATTTTGTATTACTAAAGTATTATATAATACTATTTTTTAATTATATTAATCACATAAATATTATTATAATAAAATACAACTTTATAAATATATTTAAATAATAGTATTTAATATAATATTGATTACATATATTTAATTTTTTTTAATAAAATTATTGAAAATAGTTAAAAAAAAAACTCTTTAAATCTAAAATGATAAAAATTCAAAAAAAAAACTAATTAAATATAAATATATAGTGTAATACAAAAAAAATCAGAATTTTTTTAAACATATATTTTTATTAATAAATTAATATAGAATTATTTAAATATTATAAAACTTTAAAATTTGTTTTTATGATAAAAATAAAAAAATTCATATAATTTTTTATTAATTTTAATATTAATTTTAAAGCTAATTTTAAATATAAAACTAATGTTTTTTTTAAAAAAGTAACAAAAAAAATTTTTTCTATTGTAATTTTAAAAAATTATTATTATTAATTTTATTAAATTAATTAATAAAATTATTTTTATAAAGATATTTATAATATTTAAGAATATAAAAAATTTTTTTAATTTTAAAAAAATTTTTTATTATAAAAATATTTAAAATTTAAATAGAGTTAAAATTTTTTAATTATTTTTCAAACAGTTTTTTATTATAAAACATATATAAAAAATTGAGAATTGATTTTTTTCAATTATTAATATATTAAAAATTTAAAAAATATTATTATATTATTTATATATATTACTTATAACTTATTGTTAAGATATTAAAAAGCTTATTTATAAAGTTTTATATAATATAATCAATTAATTATTGAATTATAACTAATTATATAATTCTGGTTTTTTCGTACTACATTATATAGATATATATAAGTTTAAAATAAAAAATTATAAAAAATGAAAAATAGAAATAAAAACAAAACCAAATAATACAATAATAAAATAATAATAATAATAATAACAAATAATAAAATAATAAAATAAAAATAAATAGTTTAAAATTTTTTAAAATTTTTTGTTATTTCAATATATTATTGATTAAATGTTTTCTTAAAATAATTATTAATATAAAAAAGTTATAATTAAATTGAAATAAAATCCTTTTTTTATTTGAAGAAAAGAAAAAGGATATTAAATTATTTAAACAAAATAGATATTTTGATATTTTATTTTTCTGCTATAATCAATTATATAATCACATATTTGTAAAATAAATAAATCTTTAAAAAAGATAATTAAGAGTTTTAAAAATCAAATAATTATTTTTTGAAGTGTTGAACTTTTGAAAATATATATATATATATTATATTCATTTTTCAATAAAATATTTTTATTTTTGATTTATAAATATATTTACTTAAAAAAAAAATAATCAATAGAATTTTTGGATATTTGTTTTTTGAGTTGACAAGAAATCAGTAAATAGAGTTTTAACATTATTTTTATTATCTTAACAATAATTTATATAATAAATATATAATAATACAAACAATCAATTATATAAATAATTTTGTTTTATTTTATTAAAAATCAAAAATTATTTTTTATTAAATATTTCTTATTTTGCACAGTATCTATACATTTTTATTTACTATTGAATATTCCAAGTATATTGTGTAACATATAAAAATTATTAATAGTGATTATGTGAAAATTCGAATCTAAAAAAAAAACATAGCAATTCGTTGTATTTTAAAAAAATACATAATGAAATGCACTAATATTGCGTTTGTTCACTTGGACCTTTGACTTGATATTGTATTCGTATAAACCATATAAAATCTCATCTTTTGACTATTACACGACGCATTTTTTTTTTGATAAAACATTTTTGATCAAAACATTATTTCATTCGAATATGTATCACATGCTTTAAGATGAATAAATTATTTATAGTAACGATGTACATGCTGTAAAGTACTTGTCAGGAATTTCTCTTTCTCCGATCTTATGCATTTAGAACATGACCAGTAAATTTTATGAAAGATTATCCTGTGACCTCGAAAAAATTTTTGAAGATAGTGACAAATATGATGTTGTTATTGAAGTTGGTGAATTACCCATGAAAAAATCCTATAATACCCATTCAATCATTTTACATCATCGTTGCCCTTCTCTTTATAAAGAATTAAATGAAATTTCCCTAGGAGACGATAATATTAAAACTATTCAAAAACCGTATATCTCTGCCAAGACTTTTGATATTATCATCAAGTGAGTTACCACACTTAATATTTAAATTCTACACAAGCTAACCTGACAATTCTTATGACCCAGGTATTTATACTGTGGTACTATTAACTTGGAAAAGGTAGAAATCTCAACAGTTGCCGATCTTCTAAATGTTGCATACAAATTTTCCCTTGAAGAATTGGTTACACACCTTCAATCCTTTTTTATTAAAGATCATGCTTCATGGTTACGTCTCAATTTTTCAAAATTCTACAATCTAAGTTTCCTCAATGATAGATTTAAAATGTTTCAACAGTTCTATAACGATATTATTGTAAAGAATCCTCAAATAATCTTTGATTCTGAGGAATACACTTCATTATCAAAAAATACGTTGGTATCACTTCTTAAAAGAGACGATTTACAATTAGAAGAAGTAAAGATTTGGAGGCACATTATTCAATGGGGGAAGTCTCAAAATCAAGGTCTGCCGAATAATATAGAAGATTGGACTGATGAAAATTTTGAGACTTTAAAGAACTCACTTCAAGAATGTCTTCCTCATATAAGATATTTCCAAATTCCTAGAATAAACATCATTAAAGATTTGAAGCCTTATGAAAAAGTCCTACCTCCCGATCTTTTAGATGATTTAGCACAAAAAATTATAGTGCCACAGTTATCCGTTTCTTCAATAATACTACCAGCTCGAGATCTTGCTATTTCAGAATTGCCTGTACGAGAAATTGCCGGAACATCAAGTACCATTGCTTATGAACATGCAGCCCAAATTCCTTCCTGGGTAGACAAAATTACTTATAGCGTAGTCATTAATTATGAACATATAGCCCAAATAGCTTCCTGGATAGACAAAGTCACTTATAGCGTTGGGACTAATCCATATAGGTTTGATTTATTAATTCGGGGAAGTCAAGACGGATTTGATTATAGTAAATTTTGGGAGAAGTGCGATAATAAGAATCGGCTAGTGGTAGTATTGGAAGTTGAACAGACCGGAGAAATCTTAGGCGGATATAATCCTATTGGATGGAATAAAATGCATCAATCGTATTCGAGCACTAATGACTCTTTTATATTTTCATTAAAAACCAAGGGAACAAGTGATTCGATTATTAGTCGAGTTGTAAATCCTCAGAGGGCAATTAAAAATCTCTATCATGGACAAGCTGGCCCGACATTTGGTTTAGTTGATCTTGTTCTGGAGGGAAACTTTAGAACAGCAGGGAGTGGTTATTGTTTAAGACATGATTATGAAAAGCCTATTAGAAGTGTGACAACTCGTTTCTCCGTAAAGGATTATGAAGTTTTTCAAATCGGACCACGTACTTAAATAAAAATATAATTTTTGGATTAATTTTTTCTTTTTAGTAAATTATCAAAACATATTGAAACCCACCCTCGATGATATACTGTAAATAATATACAAATACATTATGCTTAGGGATTTCAACGTTGATTATAGTTAAGGAATAAGTTAAAGGTTTAAATATTGAGATATTTCAATTGTAATACTTTGACATCAGATGCCTCTCGAGGTGATATCATAAATTGGGAACCAAGCTTAACCTTTTTAAAAGCCTCTACATAGCATAAAATATAATGTCTTTCAGATAGGTTTTCAAAAATGTTTTTACAAAATAGTGTCGTGTATCTCTATACATAGAACCGTTATCCAACTACTGGCCTATAGACTGTCGGGGAACACACATCGAATTTTTTATAAACTTTAAATACTTCATATTCATCGACCGAAAATTTCTCTGATGTATTTCTGATTGGTACTTCATAAGATTCACATATACATTATTATAGTTTTTACTGTTAAAGTTATTTTCCATAAAAATATCTTGTCTCGCAAATATTAGACCATAAGCGCGACTACTTTAGATGGCTCGACTAGCTTGTCCATTTCTTAATCGGCTTATTATAGAATTCTGCTCACCATTTTTTAGCGAAAAAACAAAACTGTTATTAGTATATAAATATGAAATTTTTTTTGCTTTTCCATTCAAGCGGGTTATATCCGCCAATAATTTCGTCAGATCCGCGAATTCTCATCACTACCACTGTATTACTACATCCGTCACAAAAACGCCAGAATGCGTCACGGTCAAATCCAGATTGACTTCCGCGAATAAAATTCGTATGGGATTTCATCAAGGTTATACGTTTTTGAATGGCAGTCAATCCAAGAAGAAATTTCAGCTGCATGTCTATATGTAATGATGGTTGAAAATGACGCTATTAAATCAGAAAATCTTTCTGGGTGGTAGAATCAAAGATTTAACTTGCTCATCGGGAAACAATAATTTTTGTACCACGTCTTCCCTAATGTATTGTTGCAAAATTCGCTTATATGGTCGCATTTTCTTGAAAACATCTTCTCTGGAAATCTGAAAATGTGAGGTAAACAACTCTGCAAAGTATTCTTCAAAGTCCGAAAATTCTCATCAGTCCATTGTTTAATTTCTGAAGGTAACATTTAGTTTTGAAGCAATCCCCATTTAATGACATAATCCCAGATTTTTGATTCCTCCAAGTTTAAATCATCCCTTTGAGAAGGGGTACTAAGATGGTTTCAGGTATGGATGCAAGTTCATTAGATTCAAAAAGAATATTGGGTCTTGTAATGATGAGATTATTGCAAAAATTTTGTAAATTAGGAAGGCTGGTTGACTGAATGGAAATTTGGTATACATTGCACGAATTTGATTCTGACCATGCGATTTGGTTTTAAGTATGAATGATTCGAGATATTGTAACAATTCAGTAAGACCATATTTATTGGCGGTAATTAAAATGTCAAAGATGGTAGATTGTTCGATATTTTCTAAGTTTATAGCTCCACTATAAATGTATCTATTTCAAAATGTAAAAATTAATTAATATATAAAATTAAAATCAAAATAGATTTATGCTTACTTTATGATGACTTCAAAGATAGTTGCCGAAATTTGAGTCTTTGTAATGACTCGAATATTATTTTCATTATGGTCAACCTTTTTTATTTCATCATAAAGTATGGGACAACGATGGCATAAGATAACGCTGTGAACTTTAAATGATTTCGTGGCAGGCGCTGCTCCTGCTTCTATGATAATATTATATTCATCATTTGTTTCAAGAAGTTTGATGAGATCTTGAGATAGGTTTTTAAAAAATTCCGCCTTCATACTACTTGATGAGTTGCAAATGGAATATGTACATAAATTTTTATTTCACGATGTATATTCCGTATTTGTAACACAAGAATTTCTACATTTAGTTTATTGTTGGGGCGAAACAATGACAATGAAGTTGCCCGAAAAAGGGGACCGAGCTGGTATCATGTGATTTAAGGTCAATTATATAATTGACGTAGAAAAATGTTTGAGATGGTGATTTTGTTATGCGCTATTCTATATTTGTTATATATTTTCGCTATATTAGTATATTTGGTAGTACGATCATCACTGTTATTATATTTTTTTTAATCGTTTAAGGAAATTGCCATATAAATTTTATAGTTGAATTTTATATTTATATACTATAAATAAATTTATAATTATATAAAAAAATATGTGTATGTGTATGAATATGAATATAAAATATGAATATGAATATGAATATACATATATATAGGAATAGCAGTAAAAAATTTTTTTATTTAATATCGTTAGAATTAAAAAAAAATTATTTAATTATAGAAATTTTATTCTCATGTGGCTTATATAATTTTCTTATTATAGCACTATGAAAATTATAAATTCACGAAATTTCATGATTTGTTCAATATTTAATCCGGTTTTTTTTTCTTATATAATAGACAAAAAAAAACAATTTTTTTATTTTTAGAACCGACCGAGACGAAGTCACGGGAGGGTTATTATCGCGAGGATCAGGACCCGGTTACAATTTTTGACTGTGTGTGATGAAGTAAAAATGATGTAATAAGGTTTCACTGACAAATCAAGGATAGTATGATTATGTAAGAAATCAAAATAAAGCTATGGACGTTTGAATAGGTGATGTTTTTGTGTTTTTTTCTGCTGCTACGTTTGCCCGAAACTTTTGATTTTCGGCTTATCGAAGTATCCAAAAAACATGTCTTTAGCCAAAACACGCCTACGAAATGTTAAGAACAAGGACATTACTGACGAGATAACCACACAAAATGACGTAAGAAAATCAAATATGTCATTAGAAGAACTTCGAAACCTTTGTCAACTTTTGAATCTCGACTCTGGGGGAAGTAAACCAAATCTTATCGACGGTTTAAGGAAAATAAGTACTGGTTCAGATTTATCTTTACGCGAATCATGTGAGCGAATGGACACTGGGAATTCAGATGATCTGCAAACCATGCTTCAAGAATGTGAAAATTCAACTTCCGAACCTTCGTGTGAAAGTGATAATGATGAAAATGTAAAAACAAGTTCAAATTCAACCAGAAGCAGTACCAAACGATTGAAAACAAAAGAAGGTGATACAAATGAATTGAAAGTTCTTTTAAAAGAGATTAAATATCTTAGGAATGATATAAAAAATGTGGAGGAAAAAGTTGAGACAACGAATATCAAAACCACAATCAGAGATACTTGGCCAGACAGAAAATTTGAGAAATTACGTGATCAACATGAATACGATACTTTGCGGTCAATTGGTCAGGAATTGGATTTAGCGCTAAATACAACTTCTGGAACCGAAGCTTTACAATATGTTGAAAATGCA